AACTGCGGGAAGCTATGGTAAGCAAAGCACCTTAAGGCAAATGTACTCATTACCAACTATTAGAGTAAATTAAATATATGAGCCTATAAACCGAAAAAGATGATCTGTTAGTAATAAAGGAACTTTATTTAAAGTTAAATAGAAAACTGTTGGCTATTATATTGAGTTCATTTGAAGCAGGTGTCAGAATTGTTCACACGGCCCCCGATTTCGGACAGCATGTGTGAATGAGGATGCACCTACTTCACCTTATACAGGCGGTCTTCTGTTTTCTGGCGACAGTGGAATCAGTTGAGTTTAATGGCTCAACATCAGTGAATACTTAGTAGATGTAAGTGTTCTTTATCTCTTGTCTAATCCCACAACCTGTGCTTACCAGTCTTTTCAAAGCTTTAAAGGTGTTTATTCGTCTAAAGCGTTTTAGATGCGTGTCTTCTGCAGATGCAACGTATGTTCGATTAAATGGCAAGTCGGAGCTAATGAAGGCACAAAAAGAAGCCCTCATGTTCGTCTTCTGTTAACACTCTTATGAAAAAATAAGAAGGCTGTTCAATCGCTGGGACCAGTTCGTAAGTAGTATGGGCTTTCTAACTTTTGCAGTAGTTCATCATCTGGGGCAAACTCTCCCACAGAATATGCCACAGTTTTAGGGGGTATGAATCAATCAAACATCAGTGACATCAGTCTGGTGGTGACTGTAAAGGGCCCTGTATACCGGCAGCGGATATATATATATATATATATCGATTGGTGAAATTATCATCTTAGGTCCATAGTTTAGTCGATTCGCGTCTTACATTGCATCCGGCGTTAGCGATTATTTTCGCAGTCGCGGAGTTTCACTTGTGACCCGTTGCTTCATTGTTGACAGCCCCTTGTGATTATCCGTCACCTCATCGCAAGGCCAGCTAATTCTCGAGCACGCACCAAGTCTGACCTATATAGGACAAGGACACAGCGTGGGATAAAATTAGCCACATCAGACTTCTCATTGGGATTTAATGATTGCTTGATTTTTATGATCCTGCCAATTTAGTGCGCTATTCCAGTACAAAGGCCCGCAACAATACGTTTGGTCAGGTGTGATCCGTCCTATATACATAAGTGGGTATGCCATCCCATATATACTGTTTGTGGTTGGGTATCCCAGCGGCAAAGACGTAGTATTTGCTTATAAACACCTTCGGATAACCATTCAGTACCAAATGATCCTGTCGTAAGTCGCATCCATCCCGCCGATTCCTGCGCAAAGTCTTGCGCAGAAATCTTGTGGAGTCAAAACGCGTTGATAAGGGAACATTTGTCACAATTCCTAATTTTTTTCACTAGTGTTTCTAATTCAAATACACCTTGTGGAAGTAGCTGGAAGACATTCACTCACGCCCTCCATCTTTTTTTTCGAACTGAAGTCTACTTAGAATATTCTCCGGAAACGCGATGGTATTGATTTTCAACCAAAATGCATAAGTTCTTTCGAGATTAGGAAAGAGCCACAGACTTCGCGGCGAAAAATGACCAAGGCATAACACATTAATCTAACCTGAAAAGTGCATAACTTTCCACCATACCCAAGCTTAACGTCTGAATTTCGGTCATCAGCTTTTATCCGGTCTGTCACTCTGCAGGCTGTACTTTTGGCGCTATACGAAAGTCCTCTAACAGCTCCTTACTAGTATGTAGTTATTTTTGGTTTCTGTCTGATCCAAATAATTCCCTAGCCTGTTCGTGACATAGCACCATTACGAAACAGGGTAGGCACATGCCATAGGGTCGACTAATATGCTAAGAACAATCGTCTATCCCTTTCGCTTGTACTCGCGAAAAACCAAAGCCCATGAATTCCCAATGTCTTTTCTCGGTTTGGATAGTTAGCTTAAAAGCAGTGTTTCCCAAGTAAAAAATTGTAAATTGCAAGAACAGCAGGATTTATTGGATCCATAAATTTCAGGAGCACTCATCAGCTGCTACCTCTCATGAATGACGTAAGAGAAAATACAAAATTAAATTCATACAGAAAAATCGATACAAACAAGGTCAAAAGGTATGAC